GGGCGATTCCTGGGCGCGATGGAGTGGGTGTGGGCACTCGTGCTGCTGGCTGCGCTGGGCAGCGCTCGGGCGGAGCGCGACTGCCGGGTGAGCAGCTTCCGAGTCAAAGAGAACTTCGACAAGGCTCGGGTAGGTACCGGCCCGGGGGCCCCGGTGCCCTTGTCCCCCCAGCCCCGCGGCCAGCCTCACCGTGCGCTCATCACCAAACCCGCTCTCGTCGCCAAACCCGCTCTCCTCTCCTTTGCAGTTCGCCGGGACCTGGTATGCTATGGCCAAGAAGGACCCCGAGGGCCTCTTTCTGCAGGACAACATCATCGCCGAGTTCTCCGTGGACGAGAACGGCCAGATGAGCGCCACCGCCAAGGGCCGAGTCCGTCTGTTGAAGTCAGTGGGCTCTGGGCGCCAAACCCTGACGGGGAGGGAAGGGAGCACCCGGGGTGGTGGGATGGAGGATGGAGGGAGGAAGCCTTTTGCCCGGCCTGGCTCAGGATCCCCTTGGCCTTTGCAGCAACTGGGACGTGTGCGCAGACATGGTGGGCACCTTCACAGACACTGAGGACCCTGCCAAGTTCAAGATGAAGTACTGGGGTGTAGCATCCTTTCTCCAGAGAGGAAGTGAGTAATCATCTCAGTGGGATTGTCTTGGGGGGTAGGAGGGCCACAACCTGGCCAAATCTCTGGGTTTCTTTTCCAGTGGCGCCCTTGGGAAAAACATGGTCTCTAAGTGGCAGGAACCCTGGGCACCGCCTGAGGTTAGGGGCATGAGATTGGCCCACCTCCCCCCATGCCCCCAGCTCATAAAACCCTGTCCCAAGCTCAAAGGACCTTTGGGCTTGTGAGGCCTCCTCCTGCCATTTTCCTGTCCAGCCACTATTCCAGGGTGTGTAGCCATCTCCAAGCTTACCCCCCCTCCCCCCCTCCCAAGACCCAGCCCACATCACCGCTCAACATGGCATTGCATTTCCTCTATCTCTTTGGGCTGAATCCCTGGGATAGCAGAGGCTGGTAAACCCCCATCCAAGGATGTAGGGAGCATGGTGCATAGGGTTGGCCCACTGCCCACCCTATGCCCTGTCTCATGATGCAGAGATTCTGAGCCAGGCACAGTGCTCCTGGTGGCAATGCCCTCTTCCCTTTCTCCCAAGCACCAAAACTCAGGTGCGGGGAGGGAGAGTATCGAGGACTCTCAGAAGAGCATCCTAAAACTTGGCCCGATCATGAGAACACAACATCTGTAGACTCTTTCTACCTCCCCCCTCCCACCCCCCTTTTCTCCTAAATTTCAAACCTGTAATCTACTTGGTACTTAGGGAATTGTAAGCCGGGGCGGGGGGGAAGGGGGGTGTCATGGGATCTTAGAGATTTTCAAACCTGTAATCTACTTGGTACTTAGGGAATTGTGCAAGCTGGGGGGGGTGGTGGTGGTGGTGGTGGTTATGGGAT